AGATGCGCGAGAGACAGAGCTGACGCAACTGGTCCAACGCTGGGGTCTACCAACTGGGTCATAAGCGTTTCATCGAACCGAAGTTTGTCAGTGCCTCGCCACCTGTCATTGTCTGTCGCTCCACATGGGGTATTGATTGACTTCTGACTTACGTTTAGTTAGGCCATGTTTACTTACAAGAGCCGAGAGCTTACGTCGACCAGTGACTTTTGGTCTCATCTTGTCTCGAGGCAATTTGTGATTAAGAAAACTTCTGGCAGACAAGTTGACTGAATTTCAGCTAGGGGCTAACGATGTAAATATAAATTAAAACCGTTAGAGAGAAATCGGGTGCACAAAATGAGAATTGCAGAGTGCGATTAGTGAACAACGGGCATAGACTAGCAGAACTCGAAAGGAGATGGCAGCAGGCAGTTCTGAGAGAAGAGGCCTGTATTTAAGGAAATTCAACCAAAAAACAGGTAGTAAAATCGTTAGGTATCACAGAAAAATTACTTCAAATAATATCCTCCACTTATCTTCAAATTTAAAACCAGCGGCTTGACTGAGGCCTGATTTATTTTTAGTGCATTAGCATCGACCGCCACGTTATTCTACGGAACTGATTTGTCTGGAGTTCCCCCTGGAGACGTGACTCGCTTCCTCTTCCTGACTGTCTTCGAGTTTTCCCCACCAGTGCCTTTATTAGTAGGATTTTTGTCGCTTAACGGTTGAAAATTTGGCGGATTATTTGGTAATTCAATTTAACTGTGCTTTACAATAGCCATAATGGTTTCTGTCAGTAGGCCCGGATTCTCTTGAGCGTCTCAAGTTCCTCATAGCTGACCCAGCGACCGACCAGTGCAGAATCCGTCCTGTCTGTCGTACAGTTTTCAAGGCCTCTTGACAGTGCATCGGTTCTTATTTCCTCTCTTGTCTCGTGGAGTTTATTGCGCCTAAGCCGCCTGGACTCCAATGATTTCAGCGGCAGACCGTTCATCCGTAGTGCACTGGTTAAAAATCTGGCCTCTGAGTCAGCAGGCGACGAGTTCAAATCCCAATTGTGCAACTTTTTTGAACGTGTTTTTATAACGGATTGGCTCATTGTTGACGGTTTTCAAACTTTTTGATCAGTTCTAGAATAGTGCAGGATGTTTCCAACAATTTTTAGAATAAAGATGTTGCCCATTATGAAGTTAAATAGGGAACGACGCAGCCGTTTATAGTTTTCGAAGTAGATATCGGAGAAAATCCATCAAGTAGTTGGCCTTGTACAGATGGGTGGACGATTGCAAATAGCTGTTGATGGAAGATTTGTGGTATACTTCACCGCAGCGAATGAAAGAAGTAATCACTGTTTCTGTTCCTAGGAGAATATGGAGAGAATCTTCCTCTTGATACCGTGGGAAATAATGTCGAGATCCGAAAATTTCAGGAATGGTAGAACTTTTGAGTTGGTGTACTCGAAATCCAAATCCAAAGGATAAGTTGTCCGTTCGCAGATTTTTTCCTCGCGACGTTCAGTGTGCCCAATACCACCAGATAAAATCGACGAAAACTCAGAGAGCTGGGAATTCAACTCAAATTCGAAGGACGCGCCATGCCGATATCGTTTACGTCGACTTCAATAAAGGCTTTGATAGTGCTCCACATCACCGATTCCTTAACAGGGCTCGAGAGTATGGGATAAGGGAGAACCTATTTCAGTTCAGTTCAGTTTATTCAGGGAAATACGCGTAAACCTTTGAGTACCCTATTTGCATCGTAAAAAATGTGTGGTGTACAGATAGATGTTCTGGGCTGAAGTAGTTCGAACACGCCCATAATGGTGGGACAAAATGAGAAGGAATTACAGGGGGTGAGCTCGACTTCTCATCGCTCTTGGTCATTTCGGAATATAAATATGTCCA